GCAACCTTGCACTCTCATCGCTAACATCATAATGGGTAGACAGTAATCGAACTATTCTATCTGAATAAAGACATTTTAGCATTTAGGACTCCTATTATTTAGAGAAATCAAGTGTGACGTACGACACACACACACACACACACACACACACACACTGGTTTTTATATAGATTAGATTTCCATGGGTATGTACTACTAACTGTGTACCAGTGTGTTCATTTATAAAAAAATTAAAATTATATTTCTGAACATGAAAAGAAAGGACAGTAGGCTTTAATTTGCACGTGCTTCATGTAATGATTTAACAACACTTTCAATCCAGGCACATAGTATGCCCATCTTTAAGATGGAGAGTGAAAGAGATTTACTAAATACATTAGGAACTTGTTTTGTTTTTTATAAAAAGACTTCAATTAAAAAGTAATTTTTTTCACATAAGCAACTATGCATAAATGTGTACTGAAGTTTAAAATGACAATGTGTTGTTTGTGAAAAACCTGCACACTGGAAAGTATGTTATCTGAGAAAAGTTCAAGATTATAGTGTGAAATGCCATATAAAAGAACCAAAACTGTTATATTTTAGGTGTTATATTTTTAATTGTGCAATTGATAATATTTTTTTAATTTCCATTGTAAATGATTAACAAGTGTTAATTTACTAAAAACTGTACCTTTATTTCTAAGATGTTTGAATTTTCATTTGGAGGGAAAGATATTTATGTGTTTTGTAATTAATTTTATGGCTTGAGGTAACAGTGACCTCATATTTCATGAAGAGAGAGAGACAGATATAGTACAAATAACTGAACATATTTATGTAGGCGAGGGCTAGAAAAGCTGATATCTGAAAATGGCTGGGTCGACACGACCATGACTGTCGGTAGATGCGGAATGTTTCAACTCATCAAAAGGGGGTAAGAGTTATTTAAAAAAATAGTGTCTGTAATCTGCATTTTACATTAACTAAAAAGTTAAGAAGCAAAGAAAAGAACTCATCACACATTCACTAGTTTCTAATCATGAACTGTGGTTCTTTCCTATATGGAATCCATCATCATTATTCCCACAAAAGTAGAGCAAACGAACAGGTTAAATTTGTTATTTCATCCAATTCTCCAAGGTTTACTGGTTTCGAGGAACTTAATCCCCTAAATATCTAGAGTTAAATTTTACCAGCAATAAGTTGTAATGTACAAAATACAACCACAGATTACTAAATACGCCTTCAACCTTACGTAGAGTGGATCCTTTAGAACAATACAACCACAGATTACTAGATACGCCTTCAACCTTACGTAGAGTGGATCCTTTAGAACAATACAACCACAGATTACTAGATACGCCTTCAACCTTACGTAGAGTGGATCCTTTAGAACAATACAACCACAGATTACTAGATACGCCTTCAACCTTACGTAGAGTGGATCCTTTAGAACAATACAGTATTCTATACTGAATGTACAAAATACAACCACAGATTACTAGATACGCCTTCAACCTTACGTACAGTGGATCCTTTAGAACAATACAGTATTATATACTGAATGTACAAAATACAACCACAGATTACTAGATACGCCTTCAACCTTACGTACAGTGGATCCTTTAGAACAATACAGTATTATATACAGAATGTACAAAATACAACCACAGATTACTAGATACGCCTTCAACCTTACGTAGAGTGGATCCTTTAGAACAATACAGTATTCTATACTGAATGTACAATATATAACCACAGATTACTAGATACGCCTTCAACCTTACGTAGAGTGGATCCTTTAGAACAATACAGTATTCTATACTGAATGTACAAAATACAACCACAGATTACTAGATACGCCTTCAACCTTACGTAGAGTGGATCCTTCAGAACAATACAGTATTTTATACTGAATGTACAAAATATAACCACAGATTACTAGATACGCTTTCAACCTTGCGTAGAGTGGATCCTTTAGAACAATACAGTATTCTATACTGACATATCTATATACTACGAGTTCTTTGTGATATCTGACCGACAGATATTATAGACTAAGAGGTTTGTCGTTTTACCGTGAAATGTAGCTACATATATCACCTGAGAGTATTTTATTTTTCGGAAAGGCTTACCTAAGAATATTTACAACTAACGAGTTGTTTTGTTAATTCATTTCTGTACAATCACTCGCACATCTTTTCACTTCTAATCGTAAATGTCAAAAAAAGAAAAGCCAAATGGCTTCAAAGATTGGTAATTTATCCAGGACATTAAAATAACTGATATGAGAAGAGACTATACTCGAAGTTTATAATGATTCTATAGGAGAAATCCACTTTGCTGCCTTTCATACAGTATACTCTGAAATACTACTAGAAAACGACTACATATTTAAAGCTTATAATAGAAGGAGTTTCTTGTATTGTATTAGGACTAATTTATTTTATTTTCTATTCACAGTTTGAAGCAGTGGCACGTGGATGTGAATGGTATTATACCTAATGACTTCAGGGCTAGAAACGTGAGTTAAATATTATTTAATCATATCCTTAAGAGAAGAAAAAGTTACGAACTGTTTACACTGCAGCAAGATTAAGTTATCCAACAAGCAAATGTAGTGGCCAAAGAAGTTACAAAAACACAGTTATACCACACAACATTTTTGTTAAAGTCAACATGCCACCGGCAAAAAACGAGTTAGGCAATGAACCTAGAAACTGAATGAAGAATTTAAAGAGGACACACTGTGTCTAGCATGACCGGCTTATGGCATCTTGGAAGAGGGAAAATCTTAGGAATTGTGGCACAAACCTTTCATCTTGGTTCTGCAGGACGTTTTCCAATTGTTCATTCCATAACAAACAGTTAATTGGAATCCGAGTTCCGCCCTCGTGGGACTCTCAGTTGCCTATTGTACAATACACTGCTGCTATTATACTGGCAAAATTGAAATTGACTTTAATGTATTTCTAGATATATTAATTTGTAAGTGTAAAACCGAAATGTTTTTATTTGAGCTGCCACATTTATATAAGTAAATAACCCACATAATTCCAGTATTTCATCTATCTCGAGTTTACTTTTATTGTACTCTTTTAAAGGTTGACGATCCTGCCATTCTTCCAAACTACCCTTATAGGGACGATTCTACCGCTATTTATAAAGCAGTCCGTAACTACGTCACCAGAGTTCTCCAGTTTTACTATGGTATGTTGTAGTTACATTTAGAAGACCAATTTCATATTTATTACTGTACTTGAAACATGGTGTAAATCGTATTCCTTCAGGATTCCCAACCCTGAAATTCAAGTGGTGACCAAAAAGGTTATGAATATCAAAAGTGAACAAACAAACATTACTAAAACCTTACCTTAAGGTGCAAGGGTTTCCTCCGGCTGAAACATTGCAGGTTTTGATTTTACAATAGATGTTAGATCTTTGTCTCAGAAAATTTTGTTACTACATCTTCTTTAATCATACCCTGTGAAAAATAACACTTTAGTATAGTATTGAAGTGTCTTCTTTAATCATACCCTGTGAAAATAACACTTTAGTATAGTATTGAAGTGTCTTCTTTAATCATACCCTGTGAAAAATAACACTTTAGTATAGTATTGAAGTGTCTTCTTTAATCATACCCTGTGAAAAATAACACTTTAGTATAGTATTGAAGTGTCTTCTTTAATCATACCCTGTGAAAATAACACTTTAGTATAGTATTGAAGTGTCTTCTTTAATCATACCCTGTGAAAATAACACTTTAGTATAGTATTGAAGTGTACTTTTAATGTCACACTAATTTCACTTTATGGATGCATAACACTAACGATAATATCTAGTTAGAAAAAAAAAGGAAGTTGTAATTAATTTTCATACTTCTGACCATCTTTAGACAAACCGGAGAAAGTTATCAATGATGTGGAACTCCAGAATTGGCGAGAAGAACTAGTTCTGAGTAGGAATGAAGGTGGAATTGGCTTGGTGGTAAGTAGATGTGATTCTCAAACTGTGGTACATGGAGCTAATGTCAAAAAACATAAATTTGGTAATTAATCAGCAAGTGTAGATGTGTATGGAACAGTGATTCTCAAACTGTGGTACATGGAGCTAATGTCAAAAAAACATAAATTTGGTAATTAATCAGCAAGTGTTAAAAATATTATTTTTTTTGCTATTAGGGTTTTTTTCAAATTAGGCTAGTATTACAATTCATAAGAAGAAAAAAAATATATATTAAATACAAAGTGGTAAGTTAGCCTGAAAAATTTTGAGAAGCCTTGATCTAATTGATTTTATAATAATAATTTTCAAACGGTACGTTGTTATTATGTATTTTAAATGGCACTTTAGAAGTAGAAAATGTTTAAAAAAAACTGGTTTATTGATGGAAACCTTATAGTGTCTCAAGTTTAGTTATAATACATACTTATATTAGAAACTTGAAAATTTTAACAAAAACAATGCTTTATTCCTCTACAGTTGTAGTTACTACTATTAAACTTTTTTTTTTAAAAACAGCTTGGTTTAAGCACATCTAAAAAATCATTTTCTTCCATAAATTGAGTTCTTTGAAACTTAAGTATCATTTTTTGGTTTAATGTGAGAGCTATGACTAATTTAACATTTCTGTCAGATTTTATAAAAATGATATTATATACACATATATTCGGAACAAGTTAAACGTATGTACAACAAAGTGTTCACACTATAGAGATTATAGGTATATCATTAACACTATTTATGTATTTCTCTTCCTCTTGTCAAAAGTCCACTTAGGCCTGTTCAATTAGTTTAGAATTTCAGTTGACAAGTCGAACTACCTTCTCTATATTACTATCGTACTAGTATTCTGTGTGTGATTCACTTACAAACGTGGCGCTAGTTACCGTAATTTGTTTGGTCTTCTTTCTTCAAAATATCCTCTATTCGTTTTGTCAAAGTGTAATCGGGCTGATTAAATTACTTTGGAACCACACTTTGACGGATTAAAAATTATCCTTCTTATATTTTTTTACACTGTTAGTTTCACTGTAATATATATATATATTAAACGTTAGGCCTATGTCAGTCGTTAGGCCTATCATTTTTACGTTACTTAACTTCACAGCAATTATATTATTTTTCCTTTTATCTGTCTAATACAATCTGTCTCCTGCTTTCCGCTCGTCTCACGCTATTTATATCTTTATTACATAGTTGTCTGGCCACTTTCTATATTCTTGACACCAATTAGTTATTAACAAAACCTTCTACAATCGTCTGCTTTTAACTCTTATTATAACAAAACTTAAAAATAATAAAATATTTAAACCAAACAGGCTTTTATATCACGACAATCTCCTACAGTGATGGATATACAATTTCTCTGGAGAATTAAGTATGGTGAGTCACGAGTTAATGACGTCTTTATTTAATCATTAGGGTGTACCAGGAGAAAATGAAAAATTCACCATGGTGGAGCAGGTTATTGATATGGTGACTGTTATAATTGCAATCTGTAGTATTGGTCATGCTGCCGCTAACTTTCTGCAATATGAGGAATATGGTTTTCCACCAAACTACCCTGGAATTGTATATTCAGAAGTTCCAAAAGACAAGGTGGGTTTTACATTGTTAAGATCTTACGATTTTGTTTCTGCCACCTCAGACCTATATTTATACATTAGCTATTATAAGTCCATGCTATAACTTGACTTGGTAAGTTCTACCTATTTAATTGATGCCTTACCAGGATATAATACTAAACAATCCAAGAAAAAAATTCAACTTCAGTTGCTTGAGTTCATAATTTCATTCATATGTCATTAATCACATCATAAAAAAAAAATAAAAAAAAATAAAAAAAATCGAAATTCTGTTTATTATTTTCTAAACATTCTTTTAGAAAAATTACGCAATGTGCAGTTGTTTTGGTGTGTGTGTAAACACTTGAGGTTTAAATATCAGTTTGAGTTAATTGTTTTTTTAAAATTTCAAAATACATATTTATTTAGTTGCACCAATTACACAAACTACAATTTGATCTAACAATACATCTAAGTTCTTCAAACTACAGGCCAAAACATACTATTACCTGAGCTCATAGAAGTTATACAACTACTGTTGTTCCCATGGTCTCCAGTTTAAGACAGTTCTTCATATTGAACAACCGTATTTAGTCAATCGTGTCATATGACTGGTTGTTTCTACAACACCTGTTTCCAGAGAAGTCTGTATGTATGTGGTACGTTAGACCTACGGAAGTTAGCTGTGCTCAACTTTGAGGTTGTACTTAAGTACTCGTAAGTCACGTAAATCTCCCAAAATTTACTTAGAGCAAAGACTTAGCACACTGAACATAAAGAAATGTAAAAAAACAATACTCCTCCTTGTGGACAAGTTAATACACATTTTCAACTAATTTGGATCTAGTAAGAATTCTATTCCTGATGGCCCACTGATTGGTAAAAAGTAAACGGATGGTTCAGACATAGTAGTTTCATAAAATGTGCATTTACCCGACAACTCAAAATGGCATGCATCCCACAGAGTCTACAAGTGGACACACATTTGAACAAAATCCCACTGCAACTAAATGATATTTGTTAGAATTAAACTAAAGGTCAATTTACTAACCTGAACAAAATACTTGGATACAAGACCATTAAGGAGACAACCAGGAATCTTTCAGGTACGTAAGGATGGCCATTAATGTCCAATATTCATACTTATGACAACTAAATGATATTTGTTAGAATTAAACTAAAGGTCAATTTACTAACCTGAACAAAATACTTGGATACAAGACCATTAAGGAGACAGCCAGGAATCTTTCAGGTACGTAGGGATGGCCATTAATGTCCAATATTCATACTTATGACAACTAAATGATATTTGTTAGAATTAAACTAAAGGTCAATTTACTAACCTGAACAAAATACTTGGATACAAGACCATTAAGGAGACAGCCAGGAACTTTCCAATATTCATACTTATGCAATGGCAGGATGTCTACAAGATTGTGAAAAATTTAAATCATGTGAAATACAGAATTTAAAGTTTTATAGCATGGTTTACTGGTCTAGTCTCTGTATATTTCCATCTCTTAAGAAGAAAGCTTCTTCCTCAATGAATAAGGTTTCTTTTTCATGAAAAACAGTAGCATCATTGAATATCGATTGATGTCATTAATTAAATTAATCAAAATTAGTGAATAACTGAAATATTGCCATTATTATTGTAAATTAATTCAGCTTAATTGATTTGGAGCAAGACTCACAAAAACAATCAAAACAATAATCGGGAACAATAGGTTCGAGTAAAAAAAAAAAGAACAAAAGTAAAGATGAAACTGTTTGATTGAAGTACTGTGAGAGTCCACAAACTTTATATTTGAAGTTTTTCATATTTTCTTCCCAAAATCCTGAACTTGTTGGCTAAAGTCAGTCTTGTAAACAGTGGCCAAGAATGGCTGACTGGTTATTTGGAGTATCTTGTACACATTCGTTAATTCTTGTACTCAAACAACAAACTGTAGATCCCACATTTATAGATGATGTAAGAGTGATGCATATTTGGAATCCTGTCTTTCAATTTAAAGTAATTACTTACACAAATTATCAGTTTAAAAACAATTCTATGCTGAATTTGTAGATAAACTTTATTATTGAACATAGTTTTAATTTTTAAATCTATAACAAGTCTTTCTTAAAAGGTAAAATACTAGAAACCACTTTTTAGTGTCAATCTTTTATTAATTTGCATCATCTATAAAACTTGCAGGTCCAAGATGTAACCATGGCTATGTGGGCTCTAACATCTCTAACAAGATGTAACCATGGCTATGTGGGCTCTAACGTCTCGTTAAGTTCACGAATTAATGAGTACGTACAAGTTACTCCAAATAACCACTCAGCCATCCCTCGCCACTGTTTACAAGACTGTGACTTTACACCTATAGCCTATATAAAACATCGTATTTATCCAATTCAAAAGTCAGCTTGGCACCAGAAGACCAAAACTTGAAATTTTAAATTGTAATTAAGCAACAGAAAATTTCTAGCAAGTTGGTAAACTGTTTAAAAGCTGTACACAGTTGTTGTGATAGTTATCTGAACATGTGTTTGTTTCTAGGGGCCACACACACTCGAAGATGTACTGAAAACGTTACCTGACAAAGAAACGTCACTCGACATAATGGTGATAACAAAACTTCTGAGTCGTCTAGGAACCAAGCCACTGGGAGATTTTGAAGTAAAATACCTGTATCATCCAGTTTGTTTGAAAGCAGCTGAAAAGTAAGTAATAATATATTTATTAAATATTGCATTTTATGCTAAACTTCACTGACGAAGTTAACTAAAATTTACCAAACAATACTTCTGTTTATAGTTACTGTTTTGTCTTTAGGTTTTGTGCAGAGCTCAAAGACATCAGTACAAGAATTCAAGTTCGTAATGAAAGTGCAGAATTTCCATACCCCTGGCTGGATCCTAAGATTGTTCCAAATTCTATTAGCATCTAAAAGGCAGCAAAATGTGTTTTAATTACTACATAGCATATATAATGTATAGTGATTTTTTATATGTTTTTAATTTCACATTAAAGCAAGTATTTTTTACGAAAGTGTCTGGTAAAGTATTTAGTTCAAACCACTGGTTTATTGGCTTTAAATACAACATGTATTCCTTTATCACTTTACTATTTAAATACTTTTGGGTAAAGTAACTTCATAGTAATTAACACATTACAATTAGTATTACAATACTTAAACGCATGCTAAAGTAACCTGACCTCCATGTTGTTTAACACTAAACACATGTTAAAATAACCTGACTTCCATGTTGTTCAATACTTTAACCAACCTGATCATTCCATTAACAATGTTACACTCACTGGCACTGAAACAGGATTCAAAACTAAAGCTGATAGAGATAAAAGAAGCTTATTGGATTGCTAATCTAAAACACTGTTCCACCTTATGGAATAAATCTAGATCCTGGAATCGGTGATCTCCGATCATTGGTTTCATCTCTGTCACAAAAATTATTTTTATTCTTGCTGCTTATTTCTTTCATGTAGTGTGAACCCTAATTTTTCTACAACTTACTATCAATTTAAGATAATTTTCCATACCTGTTTGTATAAATCAATTAGTTTAACATATCTTTTTCAATCTGTCTCCAGATGTCGCACTTGAGTATAGTTTTATCTATTTCTTTTTTAACCATTTCTACAGCAAAATATCCCTAACACCTTTTTACATAACACTCTTGTCGCCGGTCACATTGTACCGGAAATTAAACACACAACAGTACGTGGAAAAATATACCAAACATTTCCTGTAAGATCAGATGACCTTCATGACATCACTCATTCGATTACACCACCATTCTCAGTTTGCCCCTGAAGAAGAAAGGTCCACCTTTCGAAAGTGCTCGGGTTATAGGGTTTTCATCATTTTGTATCAAGACTTCTTGAACCTACGTGTTTTTGTGACATCATGAATAAATGTGGAGATATCACTGTTGACAAGAAAAACTAAAGTCATGAATAAATGTAGAGATGTCACTGTTGACAAGAAAAACTAAAGTCACTCTCTATATTTATTTATTCATGACTTTAGTTTTTCTTGTCAACAGTGACATCTCTATATTTATTTATTCGTGACTTTAGTTTTCTTGTCAACAGTGACAATTTATTCGTGACTTTAGTTTTTCTTTGTAGAGATGTCACTGTTGACAAGAAAAACTAAAGTCACGAATAAATGTAGAGATGTCACTGTTGACAAGAAAAACTAACTTCATGAATAAATGTAGAAATGTCACTGTTGACAAGAAAAACTTAAGTCATGAATAAATATAGAGATGTCACTGTTGACAAGAAAAACTAACTTCATGAATAAATAAATATAGAGATGTCACTGTTGACAAGAAAAACTAACTTCATGAATAAATGTAGAAATGTCACTGTTGACAAGAAAAACTTAAGTCACGAATAAATGTGGAGATATCACTGTTGACAAGAAAAACAAAAGTCACGAATAAATGTGGAGATATCACTGTTGACAAGAAAAACAAAAGTCACAAATAAATGTAGAGATGTCACTGTTGACAAGAAAAACAAAAGTCACAAATAAATGTAGAGATGTCACTGTTGACAAGAAAAACTAAAGTCACAAATAAATGTAGAGATGTCACTGTTGACAAG